TCTTCTAAAGCTGCAAAGACAACCTGCTTTGCTTTACGCAAATAGCGTCGCTTAGTTCTTTGCGAAGCTTCATCCCATGGTGTAGTCAGCTGGTTTCTAATAGGACTTATGTCCCTTGCGGCTAAAAATGAATTTAGCAGTTCTCTTGACATTGCCTCTGAGTTGTCTTTGTCCTCCGTTTCTGTTAATAGCGAGCGTTCTGAGGGTTCATAGGCTGTGCATGGTGTTTTAGGTATAGTAGTATTTGGTGGGCTCTGAAAAGCTGGACTTTGTGCGCTGGCTTTAAAGGTTTCCTCATCGTCTTCCTGTAAAGTAAATGTTCTAAATGTTAAAGTTCGTGTGAGTAGGAGGGGATTGATTTTTTAAAATTTGTGTAGCTTTTCTTGTCGCTTGGGTGGGCTTCCTGTGCCATGGCATCAATTTCATAAGATGAATAAGAAAAATTCTAAATAGCTAAAGCGTAAGTACCTGCATATGAAATATATCTTAAGCGTGTAGTCTTGGTACTGATAAACTAATGTGAAGAATGACGACTGATCCGTGAAATACCGCACTTGTAAATAATTACTTCAAGCACCTTCAAATGGCCTCACTTCTTTACCTGGCAGTATGTACGTGTAAATGATAATCGCATGACAAATTGTCTTACCAAGGTCAACTCTTTCATCTGTTCACCCATAGCTATGACATCTGACTTTGAGGAATCTTTACTTTCCATTGTTTTAATCCGATATCGGCATTTCTTGCAAATACCTGAAATAATRTCGATGTATATATTAACGTAAAGAGACAGTACTCAGCAACTTATGAACAGTCACTAGTTATATATGTTCTTTGAAAAAAACTTACCTGATCCAGGAGCGACAAACACGCCAGTATTGCGTAATATAATAGATGATTCTTGCTTGCCTAAACCTCGATCACCTTTAGGCCAGGTTCCTTTACCCTTTCCATGGTCTGAAATCTCCTGCGGAACTCTATATCTTGTACCTCCTCCTCTGGTCCAGCTTATCCCAAGCGTCGCGCGATGATAAGGGCAGATGGTCATCGATTTGATGCTCTCCTTCGACTTATCATACAATGCTACTCTAGACAACATCAGATCTATCTCATTTTCAGGACCTGAAAAACTCAGGGTGGACAAGTGCCTTGCGATATCTTTTGTACAGGACAGCAATGGTACAATTTCAGGGGCTTTTTGTGAAATTTTAATACATTTTCACTAAACTCAGCTCCCCCAGTGCCATACAATGTCACTATTGAGCCCCCCCCCCCAATCAAAAAACTGCTCCGCCGTCCCTGAATTTGGGTTTGCCGCTTTCGATCTTTGGCATCAAAACCACAAGAACTACCGACGATAGACCTAAACGAACAACACGCAGCTTCCATTTTCTTTACAACATCTGCACTAAACCATCGCTAATTAATAACTGCGGTTTTCGATAGTCAATGAACACAAGCTGGAATTTGTTTGTTTGTTTTTTTTCTGCTGCCTTCAATCGAAAAACGTCAGGCGGTACCTTTTATGTTCTTCACTGACGGTAGTAAAAAGCAATTTCACAAGCTGTTGAAATGTTTGAGTTCGTAGATTATCTAAAACTGATTTCAGCTTTGTTTATCTTTCGATCGCGATATGTAATACCCAACTCA